ACAAATTTTCACCCCCCAAAAAATTCCATTTTTAACTTACCAGCATTTCTTCTTCCACAACACTTGCTTTGGAAACAAAGACAACTCTGAAGTAGTTACAGTTAAACTTCTGATCAAACCAGAGTAACAATAATATATAATAGTTGCCCAGGAAATATATTATATTATATTATATATTATATTACATAATATAGTGAACTAGTGAACCCCACAGTACTGTATATCTGTCTTCTCTCTTCTACATTTTTACAATATTTTCAGTAGCTTGAGTTATGAGGGTTCAATGTATCAGTTGATACATTCTATAGTTTAGAATACATATGTGTGTATATATTTACATATATATATTTGCAATACTATTGTCCAGTGAGTCTCAGATAATGAGATTATCTATTTAGTCTTCCTTTAAGATCTACAAATATGATCCAGTTACAAATTCATATGTTTCATTAGCACAAACAATAATGCGGTCAAGATAGAAGTCTTGCAACAATGTGAAACAGAAAGGGTTTCTAAAAATCAATACCCATATTTTTGAAAAGCTTTTTAATTACATTGTAACGTAATTTGTCATATTTGTCATATTCACTTGGAATAAACCTACCCAAACGCTAGTTATCAGGCTCAGGTTGTAAAACCTCTTTTGATCTTCAATGTTATACTCATTGCCACAATATCAAAACAAACTTTTTTTTTTTTTTTTAAGAATGGTGAGAGGTCAATGCCTAGGGTTCTGTTCTCGTGGAGAAAGAACTTAAAGACTAAACTGACTGCTATGGAGCTTCCCAGTGGAAAAGAGAGTATTTTCCCAGTAAAACTTAATTTAAAACAGTAATGGGTAGACATATCTTTGGCCAGGCACTAGCCTGAAAACAGAGAGCGAGGGTTGAACAAAATCAAACGTATTACATTAATTTAGTCTAGAGGGAAAGGAATGCTTCCCTTTTCGGCAATTTCTCAAGCCCCCTGCCAATCCTAACATCCCCTGGTGTTTTCATATTGCTTATGCTGCTTTTCATTTGCGTCACCCAAAAATTATGCAAAAAGAGTGAGTAGGTAAGTGACTGGAACTCAGCAGGATGCTAAAAAAGGTGAAAATAGCAATGCAACAGTAAAGGTAGCACAGTGCAAATGGAATAACAAACAGAAAAGCAGGAATTATTCTATTCCCACTGAAAAAATAACCAGGCTCTTCTTATGTTAGTCTTATAGACCTCACAAGACTACACACCCCTACCCAGCATCTTAAAACAATTCAGAAGCTTCTGGTCACCAGAAATCTTCCTTGGTCATTCCCAGATTGAAAGGCACCTTGCCTTCCATGAGCTGACTTTTCAGCGAATTTCAGCAACATCATCAGGCCTCCCACTGCTTTTTTCAGTCTAAGACCTACAGAAGTCAAGAAGACTCCAAAAAATCCTCATTAGATGCTTCAATAGAAATCTGTTCATGTGACACTTTTAAGAAACACCAGAAATGTGAAGTTTAGTACAGGAAATAATTTTAGAGGTGCACAGGGCCAGAGGCACCTTCCAGTAAATCTCACTCAGAAGACATGCATTGGAACCAAAATTTCCCTGATTTAGTTCTCCTCTTCCCACATACAAAAAAAAAATAAATTTAAAAGACACCATTTAGAAACCATTTAAGAGTTAAAAATAGATATACAGCTTTTGTGAAAGTATGAGTTCAGTAATTTAGGGATATTCTCTTAGAACATTTTAAAGCAAAACAAAAAACCTCATGCTATTCACTAGCAACCAAATCAGGCATTTTTAACTAGTTTCAACTATTCACACTTATATTGAATTTTAAAATGCTTTAGAGCAGTGTAAAGAAAATTAATATTTTAAAAGCAGGTTTGCCAATTATTACAGAATTAACCATAATTCTACTTTTTGAGCTGAAAAACATTATCACTAAAGGGAAAACAAAGCTCAGAAAATGTATTTCCTTCCTTGTGAAGTCTGAAACACCAAATCTATTCCTACCCACAAGAAACACTTCCCAGCCTCAGTTCTGAAAGTGCAATTTTAAACAGATATGTGCACTAACGCTTTCTCACATCTGCTCCTGTGTGCTGTGCAATTCACAAATGTTTTGTAAGTGCAGCTATAAAATCTGGAAATAGTTTAGGCCCATCTTACCCCCCACTAGTATTGTATGATACAACGTATTTTTCAGAATTACATGCTGTGATCATCGCTGTTTAGCTGCACAGCAGTTCTGCTAATGCAGAAGTGCATCCAGGAACTCGTGTAATGAAAGCTCCAAGGCAGACAGTATATAATATGGAAGTAGAGATTTCATCACAAGAAATTCTAGCTTTGGTAACCTTTTCTCCCTCTAGTGGCTTCCATACAGTCTCACTCACTGGATATATTACCTTCAGTATTGACGTAAAGGACAAAAAACTCACCTTAATTAAAAGCAATTTAAAGATTGCTCTGCCAAACGAAGCACTAGACTAAGCCACTAGGTTGTAAAAATATGAATTTAATCCCATGTAGCCACTTCATATACTTTATTCCGTGACTGGAATGAGTCTGAGCATGCTGTGTAAAATAAGTCCTTAGCACTTAAAAAGGTCACAGGAAGCTGAGTATGTGTAGTTTTCTAGAACCCACCTGAATAATGGTTTGGAATAGGCAGTCTTAACTTTTCACACAAAGAAAAAAGAGAATCTGAATTTCTGAATATCACTCTCTTATGAAAGTGAACTAATGCTCTAAGATGCAAACCCAGATTTTCCCTATTTCTGTAGTACCTAAAATATGGAGGTACACTCACCAATAAAGTACATCCCCTGACTATTTTCATTACAGATTCAAGATGAGAACATTGTACAACTTCATCTCTATGCCTTACTCCGAATAACCTTCCTAAGCTTTTTCATCAGTTTCGACAGCCTTCAAAAATACTGGAAAACAATACTAAAATGCCAAAGACATTCTGTAGCCTTAATGAAGACACTAAATGCTAAAGCCATGTAGGAACATTTTAAATGTGTTCTTTCAAAGAAATTTGTTACTAATCAAAGAACAGGATGTCTATTTTATTAGTAAATATATTCAAAAGGGAAGATTGAGATACTTAGTGTTGGTTTATGCTGATCTGACCGAAACAGTAGGTGAAATATTGTTACTCTTTGCCCACATATAGAACATCTTTCATCTTAAAGTATAAAATTTTCTATGAGATTTTCATTAGTATATTTGTAATTTCCACAAAATATTTTTTTCTGGAAAAAAATGCAATCCATATTACTATCATGGACAACACTGCAGATAAAAATTTGTTAGAGAGACCCTGAAGGAATTTAAGCAGCATCCAATGCAGTTGGTCCAGTTTTCAAAGAGCACTTGGGAACAACGCATCTGTACCAGGTGCTGCCTATAAAGAGGTCTTTTCCTTGGTCTGTCAGCAGAGATCATGAAGCATGTAATCTTCAGGGTAGCAGATAGAACTGATTCTTAGCTCCTTGGGTGGGCAGTGTTTACAAATTTAGTGTTTCTGTTTGGATAGTTTCTATTTGCCTTTTGAAAGTGTGAATCGCCTTGTATTTAAGATCACATGAAATTTAATACATCATTGTGGGTCTGGAAAACTGCTGCCTATAGCACTCACTTCACCTTCACAATACACTGGTGTATAACTATTCTCTATACTAGTTTACTTTTTTTATTTTCAGCACAAAAAGCATACAAAAGAACATATGTGCAAGTTTTTGGCTTCACAGTGCAGAAAAAGCAATATAAAATAACTCTTCTTTTCACATCAAAACATTCTGAAGTTCTGCAATCTAATACCCTAAATGTCTACAACTGACTGTCACGGCACTGCAAAGATTTTGTTTGTAACAGAATGAAACAACTAATGAACCTCTACTGTCATCAACCTGAGTAGCAGTTGTATATTTTTAATCAGGTGAAAAAAGTCACATTTTTTCAAAACACATTTGGATAGCATGATGGACATTTGAATCAATCTATTAAGCAAAACTTCCTGTCATGGACTGACAAAGCTTCTTGAAGACTAATTTGGACTACAACGTTCTGTCTTTTCCTGGAGTCAGCAAATATTTCAGATACACCATTGCTACTAATTCTGTTAGTGTTGGACCAATGACCTCCACTTTGTTAAAATCCCAGTTATCAACAACAGACTCCCAAGAGATTAGTTCCCTCAACAGCAAAACGTGTATGTCACAAAGGGAACAGTATGCAATCATGTTGTATACTTGGATACTCCTCCCACACCTTTTTTTTTTTTTTAATCGCCTCACTTTGTCTAATATAGACAAAACAAGTAGATGCTTCATCTACTTCATCCAGTAATTTGGAATAAAATTTGAACTACAGCTTACTGGCAGAATGTTAGATTTGTCACCTACCACTAAGGAATAGTTTTTGATGTCAGTTTTTAATGCTACTTGTATTGAGAGGTTTGCTGGAATCAATTTTTGTAATAAAATAGTCTTATTCAGTTAAAACTAAAAGTCTATAACCCAGGTTTTTGACTAATGATTAGACTACATCTCTATAAAAATAGATACCATAGATTAGATAGATAAAATAACAACATTTGCAAGCCAGTCTTCTACAAAAAAGAACCAGACTTAAGATCCAGATTGTTTCCATTCTTTTGCTGCTGGAGGTCAAAAGAAACTGAAGTTGCTAAATTGTCATGTCTCCTTTCATTGCAATGCCACTGCAACATTTGGAAACAATGAAGAGACAAGAAGAAATGTGAGAAAACACTAACAGACAACACTTCCAGCAGAAGTACAATTCCAGAGCTGCACTAAATTAAAGAGGAATATGCAACGCCTCTGCAAACAAGAAAGAACCATATTAGTTCCTTCATCTGAAATTTTGTAAATGATATAATACATTTACATTTTAGTATGCAAATATTATAGTGTAAAAGTACCATAGGCTGATGGGTTTGGGTGGGGGTTTTTGGGGTATTTTTAGGAACCAATGTCAACATATTCTTACCTTTTTATCTTCTTTAGATTTCCTAATACTGTGGGGAGGGCCAAATTTGTTCTGAATGCAAAACATCTTCTTAGACCATTCATTTTTGTGAGATTTCAGCTGAGGCTGACCAAAGCTGCCATCGACTCTGTACCTGTCAGCTGGAATCTTACTCATTGGTGGGGGAAGGGTTCCACAGTTAACACTTGACCAGCCGTCTGTAGAATCCGTGTACGACTCCTGGTCGCTGGCATTTCCATGCTGCCATTCCTGTAACACATGCACAGGCAACCACCTTTGATTGCCTGTGCCTGCAGCATTTTTCTTTGATGGAGGTACTGAATTTCGGGAGGAAACCAATGGCACTTCAATACGAGCAGAAGGACTTAAGTGTTTGCTTACATTCTGGGTCTTATCATTCTGTATTACTTCCAAAGGAATGCTTCCCTCTTGCTCATGACAGAAGCCATTCCAATGGGAAGCAGGTTGATTTTGTCCCCTTCCTACTGGATTTTCCCACAGGCTGTTAGGAATGTGTTTACTCGGGTTGGTCCCTAAATCAACCACCAGAACTCTATTATTCTTTTCTTCCTGGTTGAAATTTCCAATTCCACTATCACTGTTGCTGCTTGTACTATTATTTTGATGAGCATCTGCATCACCATCAAGAAAAGCCCTCGCACGCATTCCCTCAATCAGTTCCCCCATATCCCTGTACAGGACAGAAATAAACTGCAGAACAGGTAGAGATGATGTTGGAAACTCTAGACAGCCATTTGTATCTGGATCCGCTGTACATTCCAGTCCAAACCGTCTTGCTATACCCTGGTGAATTTTATGATGAAATAATTCAGGATCCACCATAAAAACATGGCAAGATGTCCTCAGAACCCCTTCATCCTCTTGAGCCAAGCTTGCATCATCGTTTGTCTGCATTGTAACTAGTCCAAAGAATCTTCTATCATCTGGGCAAACAGCACTGAATGCCAGTTTCTCTGCAGGATATTCTGCCACGACACCTGATTTGTCACTGCAGAGCTGAATACAGTCATGCATTATCTTCATCATCACCAGGGAATGGATTTTCTGCTCCGCCCGCAGACGTCTCATGCATCCACGAATAGCCTGCAAACTGTCACTTTCCAAATTCGAGGTTGTTGAAGGAAGTTCAATTGAGCCCAGGTAACCTACGATCATGGCAACATTTAAAATGCTTGCATCTAATCCAAAGTCTTCTGCGCCCTCCAGTCCAAGTCTGAAAACTGAATCATCATTCAGGACTTTGGCTATTTCTTCCTTTGACAGTAGGTTTGGATTGCTTACACTTTCATTGCCAGTTTCAAATTTCATAGCAGCAGAAACTGAAAATGATCTTTGTTTTGGTGCAGAATTATCTGAGTTACCAGCACAAAGAGCAGGATTCTCAAAGATCATGTTGAAGATGCCACCAGACTGCATTTCTTCAACAACTTTCTCTGCTCTGTTTATACCCAGAGCCTTAGAGTCAGGTTTGGGTTTCAGCCACCCCTTCCCATCATAAAAACCAACTTCTTCATCACTCGAACATGAATCTAGATGACTAATCCCTTCAGCAATGACCATGTGCAGGACTCCAGAACATTTTCCTATAAGTTTCACTACATCTTCATGAGAGGCTTTTTTCACGTTGATTTCGTTAACTGCATATATCTGATCTCCTGCTTTAAGTCCAACATAATCTGCAGGGCTTCCTTTCATCACACAACTAAGAACACAAGGAGCTTGTCCAGAAAGGGTAAACCCGTAACCTGCTCTTCCTCTAGCAACTTCCACACTTCTTATCCGTGGAGGAGCATGCATGTTGAGTCGACGTTTGACTGTTTCCCCTGGCCTATACATTTTGGATTTTACTCCTGCAATAGGAAAACTTTTATTTAGTCCAGATTTTTGTCATGTTTCAAGAGCATCACTCCTTTGCCTGATGAAGTCCTAAAGAAAGAAAGAAAAAAGACATTTTAATTTTCAATCACATCTCAGGGCTTTTAGTACCCAGTAGTCTTAATTTTACTTATGAGAAAGGAGTAGCAAATCCAAATGAAGTGGCTGTCTAAAATGACAAAGTGACTGAATGGCAAAGAACAGAACCTAAGCCTTTTGATGTCCAGTCAGTGTTTTTATATTACAGCACGTTATGTCCTCCCAACCCCCCCCCACATTATCTATTATTCAGTTAACTTCTGGCTTACTGCACCATTGCAATACCACTGCATTTTACAGCACAGTGAAAATCCTGGATGAAGCTCATCTATCCTTTCCCAGCAGCATCAAAATGAGAGCTCGTGTCTATCCACTCAGCTACACCTCACCCCTTAACATTCAATGTATAGAAACAGGTACCACACATATCCATGTAAAACAGATTAACTACCCCTAGAGATGCCTGTATCTCTCCACTGACTGACTGTAAGGGCAGCTTAAAGTAGGTATCTCAAACTTCAACATTCTTACACACATTTAAGTTACATGTGCAACAACAAATGGGCATTCAGTCATGGATCAGACCAAAGGGATCCAAGATCAGATTTGCTGTTACACCAACCAATTAATCTATTCCAAACCAATTTGTCAGAAAGCAAACACTGTAAAAATGCATTTCAATCAGTCATTCCAACATCCATGTGTTTTAGTTTAGCTTAAAAATTTAAAGAAAAAAAAACTAGAGTGAGAAAGAAGGAACTCCACGTGCTGCCAGTGTTAATCTAGTCATGACTTTAGAATTAATATAAAGCAGCTTTACATGAACAGCAAGAAATAGTAGATTTCATTACATTTTGGTGTTGACATTGAAGTCTGGATGTCTTGTTCTAAAATATACTCTGGGTAAATTCCATTGTTTTAGAGAGGTTTCTTCCACTAAGCAGGTTAAAATGCATAAAAATGTCTTAACACAAATTAAAAAAATGACAACTTGTTCAACTTTTGAAACTATCCCCTTGTTGTATGATATGAACTCTCACTTCCATAGGTCTGGAGGATGACTGACAGAAATAACCATAGGACTACAGCTACATAAAATCACAATAAACTCCATCTGAGCAAGTGAGAACTCATGGCTGGGCTTCGTGAACGAAGATTTGAGAAGGGCACTACCCACATTTGTTACAAGCACACTGGTGGCTAAAAAGGCCAATACGAGACAGGCACATCTGGTTGCAAAAGGCACAGCAGAAAGACTCCTTAGGAGGTAAATTCTGCAAGGTACGAATCTTTCTGCATTGCCTTTTCTCCTCAAGGGTGATCCTGCGTGTGTTCTCAAAAGCATGAGCTGCGTTGTAGATGGTGTGTCTCCAGACCTCCCGACTGGAGGCCAGAGTAGACCAGTTGTGGTGATCAATATGGCCAAGGTTGAGATGTTGTTTCAGGGAGTCCTTGTATCTTCTCTTCGGGGCTCCTCTCTTGCGGCAGCCGGTGGTAAGTTCACCATAAAGCAGGATCTTAGGGACGTGGTGGTCCTTCATCCTGGAGACGTGCCCTGCCCAACGCAGCTGCGTTCTCAGCAACATGGCCTCAATGCTTGTGACTGCTGCTTGTTCTAGAACAGATGTATTGGTCACATAATCTGACCAGTGGATGTTTAGGATCGTACGGAGGCAGCGTTGATGGAAGCGTTCTAGGAGTCGCAGGTGGTGGCGGTAAATGACCCATGATTCAGATCCGTATAGCAGAGTAGACAACACTATGGCTCTGTAAACACTGATCTTGGTGCTTTTCTTCAGGTGCTTATTTCACCAAACTCTTTTATGGAGTTTTCCAAAAGCACTCTATGCCTTTGCTAACCTGTTGTCTATCTCTCCGTCAATCTTACCATCCGAGGAGATGAGGCTGCCTAGGTAATTAAAGTGCTGGACTGATTTGACCTCTGATTGGCCAATGGTGATATGGGGATGATGGAAGACTAATCTGAAAATAATTACTGCTCTGACTTGGTCCACAGGCTTATTCATAACTCAGTCACATTGTACCATACTTAAGGCGTGTAAGGTACTTGAAAGCAAGTATCTTGTATATGTGGGCAAAATGCAGGCAACGTTTTGGATAAAAACACACAATAAAAATATATATACACATACACACAGAGACAACACATTTCTTTATCACATCTAAAGTGCTAAATTAGTGGTGTCCCACCCACTGCTTGCATGGAAGAAAAATGACTAAGAAATCCTTCTGACATTGTTCTCAGCTACAGAAATAACAAAAAAACATACTCAGAATGTGATTCAATCCACAGTTTACTACTTTCACAGTATTTCTGCCTGGGTTAGAACAAATAGAAGGGCAATTATTTCAAAAGTTTCACCAATTAAAAACCAAACCAAAACTAAAATAAAATCTAGGATCAAAGTCTTCACTACTTAAGTACTTATGAGCTCTTTGATTATGAAGTTTAAAAAACCACTCTTATTGCTTGAATATTCCACTAAATACTCTACTAAGGGATGTAATTCCCTTAGGACCCTTCCAAACCCAAAACAGGACAGCCTTCAAGATATTAGAAGACATCCTGTTGGCTTTACTTTTGGGGTTTAGCATGTAATGTTTTGAACAAAGGGACATTAGGTTTTTTGTCTTGACAATGCAGCTGTGACTGTTCAATGTAGTATGGTTTTTGCAAATTGTTTTAATATAGCAATTATCTAGCTTCATTAGCAACAGTTTTCCTACAGTTTTAGACCAAAAAAAACCCTTAACTGTAAGAAGTAATGAAACTTCACACTTAACCTTTGAATGGAAATCATAACATAAGAAATGCTTTGCAAACATTTAACCAAACTTAACTCTTACATGGCTGTAAGAGACACCCCTCAACTTGCATCTGTTCTCATGCCTTAAACCAAGTTTGAACCTTTCCTGATGAAGCTAAACTTGGGAACTAAGACATCACTGTGCATTCAGCTATCTCTAAGTAGGTCTGTTACTTTTTGAGAATAATTATTAAACATTTCAAGAGGTAGTTCTCCAACCAAAAAAATGAACTAATAAATGCCTATCAGTAAATAAAAACTTGCTATCTAGGAGCGTCAAAATACATGTGTTTTAATTTGCCTTATAGTGAATATTTCTGTTCTCAACTGTCTGGAGAATAGCCTAATGTGCCCCCTGGGTACCCTCCAAAATTCTGCTGCTAACCTAATATAATGCCCTGTAGTATCTGGCACCTAAAAGTGCACTACTAGCTTGCAGGAGGAAAGGAAACAATTAAAAGAGTATGAGATTATAAATAATCTCATTCTAAAAATATAATAAAAATATAATAAAAAGCAGTTGTTACTTAAAAAATTAAGATTCAATATTGTAATGTTGAAGTGGCTGATGAAAAAAAAAAAACAGATTTCCAGTTATCTTTCTATTCTATAAAAAAGTACCCTAAATGCCACTATAAAAAAAATGTACAATGAAAATTTAGTTAGGGTGCTCTTGGGAAGAAGCAAACCCCAGTGTTTTCTTGCCTCACAATTCCACTTTGCTAAGAGAGAGTTCCTTGTAATTCTATTCACAAGTCATTTTATCTATTTGCCTTCCTAACCTATGCTCCTAACACATCAAACATTTGTTTCAGATGATAACCACTGATAATGGAACATCATTCAAAAACCTGACAATTATAAAAACAAAACAGCAGGCTGCTAGTATATTACTTTTCTCTAATGATGATGTTCCACAGGTGTGAAGTCTTCCACCTATTGATATGTTTATGTACTTTTGTGAGTTTAAAGTCAGGAAGTAATTCAACATTAAAGGGGTTTTGCTATTAATGTGTATATCCACTAAAATAAAAATAAAACGAAACAAAACAAATACCAACCAAAGAATAAAACTGTGTTACTTCACTGGAAAAATCACCTTTTCCCTCCCTCAGTACCTGAATATTACTGTGCATTTTTTGTGCCAATTTCAACCATGACAAAGAACAGCTCACTAAATTTATCTAGGAAACTTCGAGACAAAGGACAAATGTATCTCTTCTACAAGAACCTTCAGTAATCAAGTATGTTTCTCTGCAAAAATGCTGTGACAGGCAAATGGAAAAGTTACAAAAATAGTTTCTCATAAGCAGAGAGATTCCAACAGAGATTTGTTGACTGACAAACTGTTAACAAACTAGTTCAAAACTAAATTATCTAATTGCCTAAGTTTTCTTTTAATTTCTTTGCAGATTTGAAACGTGGAGATGAAGAGATATGGCACAGAAGTGGCACAGACTTCCACAGGGTAGTGGTTTGAACTGTGGAACCATGACACACAGTTTCAAAGTAATCATATGTCTGAAAAACCTTTTCCTGTAATAAATTACAAAATGTGTAGTTTCTCCAACGTGAAACAAAGTACAAATGTAGTGAAACAGACATCATCTTACTTGCACTGAGATAAAGCTTTGTAGTTTTATAACTACAAAATATTTCACAGAACATTTCAGACAAAAACACTAATATATACACGAATGTGAAATAACATAATTTGCCCATATACATCAGCTTTGTCATAGAACTGCAAAACAAAATGAAACATTTGAGTTTTCTGCCAGCACACATTTTGGTCTACCATTTGAAGCAATTATTCGTGGGGTATAAACCACCAAAAATACCAGTTACAGTTGGATTGTACTTTAGCCCACAAACACTGCATTTCTGTATGTAATGTTTTTACATATCCATGCTGGCTTTTCAGGTCATTTTCAAACCCTCCACTCCAAAGAAAATAACACTTATTTGCTTACTTTCAAGAGAAAGAGGCGGTTTGTTTCCTGCTTCTGCTCTTGTTATCTCATAGCAACAAAAAGAACAGAAACAGAAGGCACACTGCTGTTACAGTCTAACCTTCACAGTTACAGAGGGCAGTGGGGGAGCATGTGAAGTTTAAGACTACCTGACTGACCACCAGTTCCTTTCAAAAAGCCTTTACAAATGAGCTGATACTCAG